GGAATGTAAGTGCACCTGTGTATTGCAGATCCTCAGAGGTCAGAAGACGGTGTCAAATCTCCTGGAACTGAAATTACAGACTGTTGTTAACCACCATGTGGGTGCTGGGAATCGAACCCATGTCCTCTGCAAGAGCAGTCAGTGCTCTTAACTGCTGAGCCATCTCTTCAACCCCCCTGTTCCCATTTTTAAGTATTCACCCTCAAGCTCCCATCTCTGTTACAGTATACACTTTGAATTTTCCTGTTTGCCTATGTGCTGTGGTTCCTTCCAGAACGAGCGGGTCTCATCAGCATCAGGTGTGGTTAATAAGATATAGAAGGGGAGGGGTGGACACTGAGCAGCAGCAGCAGCAGCAGCAGTAGCGAGGCTGCCCCTTTTCTCAGAAATCAGCCCCGGTACAGGAAGAATGGCAGTTGTCTGTCTTGTTGGATCTTTCAAGGGTGAAAAACCATACCCTAAGCAAGGTGGTTCTTTTCCCCAAGGAATTATAAGTGAGTTAATCGTCCCAGTAAATGAGGGTGCATTAAAATGTCACGTCCCTGTTGCCATCTGGAAGTAAACCCAGCTCTAGCGAGATGGCACTTCCCTTTGACTTCACCACCCCAGCCTCTGAAATGCCTCTGGACAGCCCATCTTTCACTTGGGGAAGTACTGACTTAAGCTATTAGGAGTAGTTAGAGTGGTTTCCTTTCAAAATGGCACCTGGCTGTATTGCTTTGGGACTAGTGCTGAGAAATGAAAGCCTCTGCTCCCAGTGGCCACGAAAACCAATTGGAGCATTGAGCACAAAGGCACTTTCCCCTTGATCAGGCGTGTTATAACAGTGCTTTCATTTTCGAAGGATGCCCACAGAACTTGTCCTGGGGTTGTTGTAGGACACTGGCTTTTTAGTTGGGAAGCATTTGGTGTGCTAATGGGGGGAAAGAAAAGAAATCTGAAGGTAAGAACTAGACTGTAGTTTATAGTGGTCTATAATTGGAAGATGACGCAAGTTGGCCTATTTAATATAACTCATGATTTGGCAACTGGTCTTCAAAACGTACTTTAAATGAAAAGCAGTTGATTTTATTTTGCTGCTTTATTTTCCTTGAATATACCACCAGTGCTACAACTTTCCAAATTACCTGCCTTGAATAGAGAGATGGAAAAAGACGCTTTTCTGACCTTTTGTGGACCATGGTGCCAGACTTCAGTAACCGAAGAGTCATTCCCCGCGGTTTGTTTCATTAACTAATATCCCAAGAAATATGCATTCCCCTCCGACCACACTAGCCAGCTATGCATGCGGTTAACACAGACCCGAGGAAGTGGTACAAATCATACCTGCGGCTCTCGGAAGCACCCAAGTTTGCTTGGCCAATGTTGTAATGAAGTAGCTTTCATCCCCTTTATAGGACCCTGTTACAGGCTATTGCAGTAATTTAAAACCTTGTACCTAGACTCCTGACCTTGTTACAACATCACTATAATTCTCAAAATACTTGCTCTTGAAGATTTCCTTAGCACCAGCCACGTATTCTTAGAGTCCAATTTGTCTCTGGTGTTGTATCGCCCTATCTCCGCGGCTGCCGAGACCCAGCATTCTTACGAG